CAATCAATTTCAGACAAATCCAACATGAGTTCCCTTTTATCTTTGTGTTTACTTTGTCGAAAAACATTTTTGACGATGGCCAGAAAACAGCTTGAAGGACGAGTGTTACCAAAACTCCCGTTGCGTGTTATTTTTTCATAAGAAATTTCCCTTAGTAACAAACAGCCTCCAGCACTTATCCCTAGTTTTTTAATCATACATCTATTTTAATAAATGTTGCTTTGCATTGTAAGTTATTATCGTTTATGATAGTGTGTTTTGAGTGATTATGGCAGTTTATCTTTATTAAAATATCTTCAGCAAACAAGCAACTCTGGCATCCAAATGGAACAGAGGTAGTTCCTATTTTCATCCAAATATAAAAATTCGGATGCATAGTGATAAGGGAGCATAAATATGGCAGGTAGCTATTTCGACTATTATCAGTAGGTAGCTTCCTAGGATAATTTTGGTTCTGTAGCTCCAAAAATAGCGGATGTCTCGATGGGAGACGCATAAATAAATCGAGCTTTTAAAAATTCCTGTATCTCAACCGATTCTTGAATTTTAATCGGATCCAAATATATGCGTAATATTTTTATCAAACGTTCTCTCTGAACGTTTATTCAGATAATATATTTAGGTCAATCGTATTATATAATCTGACGTTAATATGTTTGTTCAACCAGTAGAAGGACTTTATGGGACGCAATCTTCATCCTCTGGTCGTGTGAGGCGAGGGTTTATCGACTAAATAATTAAATTTGACGCGACCCTACGAGGCAGGTACGGTATGATTTTATTATTTAGGTGCTTGATAATTAAAAGTTACGTAACAATCCGGAGATAATTATAGTTTTATCTTGGCAATTATTGTAAACAAATTCACTCTCTCAAAAATAATAGTAAACCAGTCTAAGTAAATAGTGATAGCTAGGAGACAAAGAAAAATCAAAAGAAAAGCCGATGACTCCTTATCAACCGACTTTGCAAGAACTTTGAACCAATTTTGTAAAGTTGCATCGGTTTTTAATGTAAAAAATCGCAAAACGGATCTGTTTTGCACAAAATTGTTTTCTCGAGTGAGATATTTTTATTAAATAAAAAGGTCGTCGGGTGGTTAGTTGATATGATTCCGTATCGCTGGACGCCTTTCGCTCCCCTCGCTTTCTCCCCCTTCAAATTTACCATCGAATTTTGAATATATTATGAATCATCTGTCGACCCTTCTGAAGGTTGGTTCCAGTGAAAAATCGAGTGATCTTTCATCGAAAGGTACACATTTTGGTAATTTTTTTCCGTAATTAGGCTAGGCTGGTAACATTTTTATTTGTAGTGGAAACTGAAAACCCGTTATTTTTTACAGTCCCCGTTTTATATTCACACACTTGTTTATTATTTACACATTTCTGAAATAATCATTAATTTGCAAATACCTGTATTTGTGAATAAATTTGCAGTTTCCTGTGTACACAAAACAACTTTCTCGTCTGTCTATTAATTATATTGCTGTGTTTTTTTGCCACAGTAATAGGAACCCACTTGAAGTGTAATGGTGCGTTGAAATTCCATATAGTCAAAATCCGATAAATGTGCAAGGAACGCGATAATAAAACGCGAAAAAACGACACGTGTTTAAATATTTAAAGATCACAATGCAAATACGCATTTTTTTACTCTCCATTTTGAAAATAAACACTAAAAAACGAGTAAATTTATTCAGTTAAAAGCAGCCAGGGATGACGCCCCAACATAACATAATAACAGCATTCAACCCTATTACCGGATTCGATTAAGAGTTTTTATTTGTTCTAAAGCAGCGTCGAAGGCGGAAGGTAATAGTATTGTCACTCCCTTCCCTTGAATTCCATCATGTCTTCATTGTATGCTGTAGATTCCTGCAACATTGAATTACACAATGGACTCATTGTGAACAATTCTGCCATGAATTAATTGATCCACCTTTTCATGTATTCAGTATTGTTTCCAAATCTGCCATTTTTAACAACGCTGAAACAAACATCCCCCGACTGAAAAGGTGAAATGCGACAATAACGCATACGCATTTCAACTCCAAATATCAACTTTCTCCCATATTAAACTCAGCAAAGTTGCTTAAAAAATCTATAAAAACAACATCAAACTAAATGACCAATAAAACTCTCTAGTTTTTCTTCGCAAACTTTTCGCTTTTATTGGCTTCAACAAAGCGACTCGAGAACATATACTCTGCAGAGGGGCGCCACCAGAAACCGCCCCGGGGCCAATTTTATTCATAGAGAAGGAGAAAGCTACTTATACTGGAACCACTGAATGAAAATGAATAAAAAATACATATGCAGTTTCTGTTAGGGTATAACTGAAAAAATTAGGGTTTTAAAAAGATGGTTGGGTCGATCTGGACTGAGTGAAAGAAATGCGGACAGAAATGTTCTTAATCAGTTTCCGGAGAACGATTTGCTTTAACTCCGGTTAATTCCGGGTTAAGGTCGAGCTTTGCTGTTATTGGCATATGACTGATGTAAGGTCTCGGGTCCTGCGTAAGCACAAAAAGGAGTCGTTCACATTCAGGTGAGGCACGTGTTATGGGTTTAATAGCTCGGACCAATTATGTAGCAGAGTTCCTGTAAAGCTGCAAAGTCCGCACATTTAGGTGGTGTTATCACGCAACATCTCCGCTTAGTTCGGCCAAACTACGAAATAATTAGGAAATTAACTCGGCTATCAAACCCCTATTTAATGCGATTTGTTGTTGTTGACGTTCGAGCTTTTTCTACTCCGATTTTTTTGAATAATAATAATTAGTGCTGAGTGGTGAACGCTTCGCTGGATATGTGGGTTAAGTAAAAAGTATGCAAGGAAGAAAGTAACATCATACTTATACATTATACAAAATGTCCGGCCAATTTTCATAAGCTCGGATGGTTCAGACAAGTTTTTATGCCGATAGTTCCATTTCGAGAGTTGTAAACAAAGGAATTGATTTTAATTTATGTACCGACCCACAGCTGGATACGGATTTTTTACGTTACATGTGTGCGAAAATTATGTAAACATGTGTGAATTTCAAGGCTGAGGAGATTAAAGAAAAATAAATGCGCATAACTAAATTTCAAGTGCTCCCGTAGGTGCGGCATTTGCATAATTTATAACACTCGAAACAACCCCCTAAAAGCATATGTTGCGGGTTGTCTGTACTCCAAATCTAATTTTTGTGACAAAATTTTCGATTACCAAACTAGTGTAACTGCTCCAAAAAAACAAAGACTCGAGTAACTTGATAAAAGTACACCTACCCAAGTCTAGTGATAAACGACTTGTTTGTTTCCCAAGTTTAAAAAATATTTAGAAGTTTGTAGACGTGACTAAATCAGCGTATAACTTCTATTTTAATCTATCCTAATTGTTAACACGCTTTGTTTTGTTTTTCCATTAGAATATTTCGGTTAAAATTCGTCAGGATTCAACTTCTCTCAATCGGATTGTTCCAGAAATTCGCATTTTATCTTATCGGCGATAATCTCGGAATTATCGCTTCGAAACCGAGAAAACTGGGTGAATTTCCACAGAATCTCATCAATCGAGACGGAACCAGGGCATGCAACATCCTTGAAAAAATAAATCGTGCTATATACATAAATTTGTTTATAGAGTTGAGCCATCGTGTTTATATTTACTAATTAATAGCGAATTTGGAACTAGTGTTTAACAATTAGGACCACTGAAAACTTGGGAAATGTCAACTAGGACCACAGCTCTCCTAAATCACGTCGTTATGAAGACACCGCTCGTGTCGCTTTAAATAAATCGAGGGTTTTATTATGAATCATGTTTTCGGTTTAAATTAGAAGTGAAGTACATCCAAAAGAATGAAAAGGGAGGGAATTACGGAGAATTGTGGGAAATCTGTTTATTTTCGTTTAGTCCCTCAATCTGTTTGTGGACTTAACCCATTTTAGTGATTAATTTCAAACACAAGATTTTTTTCTAATCATAATGCAGGAAATGAGTTTTTTGTTGAATTAATCGCAGCCCATAATAGGACTGGTTGTGGTGTAAATTGATAACGATTATCACTGTGGTTGTCGTCCAAGTAACTTTTCGCCTTTGTTTATTGTAACAATTTCACGACAATATTAGCATAATAGTCGTACGAGTTGTGTTGTTTTATCGCTGCGATAAAATTCTGCTTTGAAGTTTTTTCTCCGTTTCCTGTTTTCTTCACTTAAAACGGAGATTGTTCTCACTGTAAAATATCATGTAGCATTTGCATTCGGTCTAAATTCTTCTTAGGGCACAGGAATACGAATCTGATCGAAATTCCCGTTATCTCGTGTTTTCCCGGTCTCCTGATCTAATAAATTCTTCATGGATTATTAATAGCGAGATTAGAGAGGCATTATCTTGTCTGGCTTGAAGCTAACATTTTTTTTTGAGTGTTTGCTGTATTATCAATTTGCTTTCAAGGCCTAATCAGTTGTTTACCTCTGACTTGAGATTGAAATCCTTATTGCAAAAATTGCGACAGGGCATTTGTCAACAATGCAAATCGTGTAATTGTTTCGCTTCTAACGGCAAGAAGTATAACATATTTTATGCATTCCGTACTTACCTCGATTGTAAACAATTAAATATTTATTACCCTTTAAAGAGAAATTATAAAATCCCGTAAACAAATTAATGCGCAACTGAGGTTAACCTGTTGCTCTCTTTTTCCCTTGAAAATCCACCACGAATTTAAAGAAATCGTGAAAAGACACCTTTAATTAACAGTCAGATTAATTTTTTAAAATCATAATTGATATTTGAGTTTTTTTTGTATCAACACCGTAATAAACTTGCCACGTGTTGCTGTAAGGTGTAATGCAACCAGTATAAATTATGTAAATTTAATATATCTACTAAAACTTGTTTTGCATACTGAAATGTTGACATTATGAACTTATTTCATAACGTCAGATAAATATAATAAATCCCATTTATAAAAGCATTTTTCTCACAATGATTTTTCTTTTTTACAGACGAACAATCTCTTCGTGGATGCCTTTCTACAAAGCAACAGATTGGACCATGTGAGTCAGGTAATGGGGTATCATACCTCATATTTGGACCACTTTCTCAAGACTCAAAATTTCATACTACGAGGAGATGGACCACTTCCGTTTCATTATAGGCATTACATTGCAATAATGGTGAGTTTCCAGCAGAAAATCAATTGGAAGTGGACATATCAGAATCCAAAAGATCGTTATTGCCCAACAGCCCTTATCAATTTAACGGACACACCAACTGACGTTTATTATTCAAATCTCCAAAAGCGTTAACGAATTCAAATATTAAAATTAGAAGATAAATTAACTTAATCGATCCAAGAAATTCACGAAGCAGGTGACGAACGGCCGGTTTTTAAATACCGGTTCCCGGGTTTCATACATAATTTTTGAAACAAATTTTGTTTGTTATATTAAATTGGGACGAACGATTGATTAATCATTTAGAATATGTTTCAAGGCTGAACTGTGCTCACATTGCACTTTATTTCGTCACGACCACCGGAAAGTTTATTAATAAACGTTCCGAGTCGGTTCCTCACTCATTTCAATAATCGTGACATAATATTTTTAACTCGGGCAGATTTACTGCAGTTGCAAGTCATTTCTCTGGTTTTATCTCGAATATTTTCCATTTCTTGCATGAACAAGTTTCCGTTTTTGCAATATTAGCTTTAATTGATCGTACAAGTTAATTAGCAGGAAACTTGTTTTGATTGCAGGCCGCAGGACGACATCAGTGTGGATATTTGATAAATCTTCAGAAACAAGAATTTCTTCTGTTGGGGGGCGATCACAGTTGGCTCAAAGGCCTTAGTTCTATACCACCAAAGTTAAAAAATCTTTACGATATCAATAAAATATTAGCCCATAGACCTTGGCTGTTAAATACGTCTCATATTGAGGTGAGAGTCGAGTTTTGTGGTGTTTGAGGGTTGTTAATTGGATCTGTTTTGCAGAAATTGACTAAGGGGAAAGATAGCTGGTCTTTGGCCGAAGTCATACACGCTATAGTCATATTGACTCATTTTCATTCGCTGTGTTCTTTTGTGTTTGCTTGTGGTGTTAATCAAGAAGTGGATCAAGCTGGCGGATTCAAGTACCAAATGCCTGGTGAAACTAGAGGCTCGGCTCATCCCAGCAATACGAATCAAACTAATCCCAAAGATATACCAACTGTCGATATAACCGAAGGTAAGGCCTTTGACTTCAGTTTAAAAGAAACAAAAACAACACCATGATGATTGTTATTTATGATCACAATGATAACTAAAAGCGGACGTAATTCTGACTAATCGTGACTCGACTGAATCGATGATTGGTGAAACTCGAATTGAATGTTTTTTCGTTGTTACAGACTGGAAAAATTCTTCTCAAGTTGGTCCTCCATCGCCCACAGAACCCGAAGTAGGAATAAATACAATTATGCAACGCATGAAAACACTTTCGGAACAGAACGAAGAATGCACCCCAGTAGAATTAGCCAAACGTTTTGAAAATATCGAAACGCAATCTGCCGAATTAGGGTTGATAGGGGCTGAACGGTTAGAAACTCCAGCAGATATTAGTTGTTTTATTGAAGACGTAAAATTTGGATATCAAGATTTCGCCAAAAGGGACGAACAGTCCGATTTCCCCACGTTTAGGGTACAGGACTATTCGTGGAACGACCACGGATATTCCCTGGTTAATAGGTAAGCTAATTTTGAATAAATAACAACAAAATTCATCAAATATTCCGATCTAATAACACTTTGTTAAAGAAAAAATGTTGCAATAAAGTGATTTCAGTGCCACTAATTTGAATTTGTGCTTTTTTTCAGGTTATATAACGACGTAGGGAATCTGCTGGATGACAAATTCAAGACTGCACAAAACCTGACTTACTACACGATGGGGGGCCGCACGGACGTGGACACGTCGCGGTTCCGCAGAGCCATCTGGAACTACATCCAGTGTCTCTTAGGAATCCGTCACGACGATTACGACTATGGGGAGATCAACCAACTCCTAGAGCGCTCTTTGAAGACGTTCATTAAGAGCGCTTGTTGTTATCCAGAGCGCGTGACTAAGAAGGACTATGACAGGGTTCTTAGGGAGTTCAAGCACAGCGAAAAGGTAGATAACCCCTTGGGGTTGCGTAGGTTGATCTAATGGGCGTTTGTGCAGGTCCATGTGAATCTAATGGTCCTGGAGGCGCGGATGCAGGCGGAATTGCTATACGCCTTGAGGACTGTGAACCGCTACATGACAAATTAAAGGAGTGCCCCCATGGAAAAAGTTTCACTCTATCGGCCCAATTCGAGGATGTGGGTATGGATTTGTATGTTATTATATTGCACAGAAGTTGAGATGACGGATACTGTGGTTTTAAATATTAATTTTATTGTTGTCTGTTTTTAAAACCTATTTTATTGAAGATTCAAATGTGTTATTTATGTAATATTAAGAAATTGATTTCATGTGGTAAAACTGTATTTATCATGATCATTTTTTGAATATAATTAATGTGGTAAGTATATTATCAATCGAACAATTATTCAACTCGTAATGTGTTGATATTTTTGTATTGACTTTTTTCTACTAATTTGCATTAAAATTTGATAAAGGTAGAAAAAAGTATTGTGCACCATACATATTAAATATGTGACCACCTTTGTAAATAATTTGAATACTATATATAATAACATTTATATTGTGTAAATATAAATTTTCTGAGTTATGGAAGTTATACATCACCGCTCTCTTAATTTTTTAATTGTGTTTAACATCTTTGCGTTCACTTATCTGTGGCTTCCGACCAGTGTATATAATTATTGTTTTTAAACGTTAATTATTGTCCAATATTTTATATTGTAAGTATGGATCTGGTCAAAGTAATTTTTTATGTTGCGATACTATTAAGGAGGCTTATAATATTCTCAAATTAATTTTTATAAATGACTGACTGGATTATTTGAATCGAGGTTTCCGTTTTTTTCGCATAGTATTTGAGTAACATTGTAAGGCATTATGTAATCATTTTGTTGCGACAACAAATGATTGGGGAAACCATCTTTTCTTTACTTGTATCCCAAATTTTTGTCTTGATCTCAGTATTAATTATAATTTTGAATTGAATTCATATTTTAGTATATTTTCACTGCCATATTAATAGTTTATATTAAACAGTAACAAACAAATTTCGCCAACTGTTTCATCACCACAAAAATATTTCTTCATCTGTTTGTTCGCTGCTTAAAAGATAAACAAAAATTTTATCCAATTGATGTTTTTTAGTTTCGTTACAAATTTTGAAAATTATAAGTATATTTAGAAATAATATGATGCTGTGATGTTACAATTTCTGTATTTATTTGAAACAATATCACTGTTTGTTTTCATTGCTTTGTCAGTTTAACCGAATTTTTGTTTGTACAAATTTGTTTGCCGGGTAGATATGTAATACAATCGACTCTGAAAGCCATAAATTATTACATATCTACCTTTACGCTTGCAAACTTCTGCTATTTTTTATATTGTAAAAGTTAATTTCAAATTATAAATATTATATTAAAAAAAGGTGAATTGACGCAGAAGTACAAAATATATTATGATCGGAAGAGTGTAAAATACGGATTTCATAACGTCATTACTGTAAGATAAAAACAATAAAATTCTAATATTTATGCACACATTTTACAGGAAACTAAATCACACCTAAAATTGTATTTCAGTCAAAATTTTACGAATGGACCTTAAACAAATGCCTGTTATGAAATCCCTCGTTATGTCACAGTTACGTTGTTGTGGGGTATTCTCCAATTTGTGATATTTATCTTAATGTGATTACTGTGTAATAGATTTTAGATTGTTTCAATTGAATACCTTCAATAAGTTTTGTTGATGTTTAACCATAGACCTTTAGTGAGATGTTTTAATTTAATTAATCCACTTTCAAATAAAGTAGTTTCATGCTATCTCTGCCTTTTAATCACCCCCCAACCCCTTAAATCACCACCAAACCCTTCACTTACAAAATCGTTTATTCGATGATTTATGTAAAAAATGACACTACAAATAAATCGCAAGTGTATTGTGGATCCAAAGAAAAATAGATAAAATTGTAAATGATAAAATACAGCACAATAAATAGACAGTCTTTTTCGATTGAGAATGACGCTTCTACCTGTGTTTTTTGGCATGAGACATCATCGTGGATCTGGATACGAAAGTTTTCCCGCAACTTTCACAAGCGTAAGGTCTTTCGCCGGTATGGAGACGTTTATGGATAGCCATCGGTGTAAACTGGGTAAAGGTTTGTCCACACAAATCGCAACTGAAACACTCTAATGACAAAAATCCACGCGAAACGAAAAATACAATACCTATAAGGCCTCTCGCCGGTATGCGACCTTCTGTGACATCTCAAAGCGTCTCTTCGAGCAAAAGCCTTGCCACACATCTCGCAAACGTACGATTTTTCCCCAGTGTGCATCGTTGTGTGAATTCGCAAATCTACCTTAGTCAAAAAACCCTTTCCACAAACCTGGAATTACAAACAAATTGTAATTGTTTCCAATTCAGACAAAATAAAAAAAATACCTCGCAAATGAAGGGTTTTTCTCCCGTATGAATCCGCAAATGCGTCTGCAAGTAACTTTTCGACACAAACATCTTATTGCAAACTTTACACGAGTATTTCCGGTTATCCAGGCCTGTGTGCACCTTCTGATGTGCCTTGCAGAGCCCTAAAGTTACCCACCCAATCAATAACGACTCTAAAAATTTCGCAAATTTACCTTTTGTGATGAAACCTCGTCCGCAGGTTTCACAAGTGTACGGTTTCACTCCTAAATGCCTATTCGTGTGGTCTAGTAGCGACTGTTTGGTTTTAAAATTCCGTCCGCACGTCAAACACGGATACGGTTTTTCGTCTGAATGGACTCTTTGATGAACCATCAAATAACTCTTGCACTGGAAGCCTTTGCCGCAAATTGAACAGGAATAATCATATTTTCCCGTGTGTTTGGCGGCATGTTGTGCTAGACCTATTTTCGACCTGAATTCTTTATCGCAATCGTTGCATTTGTACGGCTTTTCCCCAGTGTGCTTTCTCATGTGTTCATTTAATTTGTAGTTTGTTTTATATGATTTGCCACACTCTGTACACACTTTCGGTGACCATATTTTTTTCTTATTGGTTCCTTTTTCCGGTACCTCTATTTGCAGTTTATCTTCATTTTCATCGTCTTCAAGGTCATCAACAAAGTCGCCACCGCTATCGTCACTGTTACTGTCGGTGTTGTTTTTACTTTTTATCGGTAAAGTTGCTCTTTTTAATCGCGTTTTAATTTGCTATGAATTTTTATTTTTATTAAAAAAAAAAAACAACTAAACGTCACACTTACCTTAAATTCCTCTATACTTCCATGAGCCTCTTTTCGATGAGTATTTAAAACCTCATTATTGGGAAAAACAGCAAAACAAATATTACATTTCTGAAATTGTGTTTCATAATGCACTTCATAACTGTCGTCTTTTTGATTTTGATACTGGTTACAAATATTTGCAGTTTCAGGTATAAAAATTTGATTTTCTGAATCATTAACGTGATTCAGTCGTTCGTCAATTAAGAGTGAATTATTACTGTTGCTATCTTCAAGCTTTGGAGATTCTAATTTAATGCTTAAATTGTTAGAACTCGAATGATAATCCAAACTGTCTTTTTCATTGTGGATATGATAAGTGTTGGTATCTTCATGTTGCAAATTATCATTCATCTAAAAAATTAATCATTAGTATAAATCAGTGGTGAGATTACCTGATAACCTTTGAGTGAACCACTGTGTTATCTAAACCACCTGTTAAAGTAATTCCATCAACGGTATTTTCATCAGTCATATTAACATGTAACTCATGTTGCAATCTAAACTGCTCATTCAATAACTGTTGATGTGGAATTAAATCTAAATTATCACTGGCAAATCTTGCACTTTCAATATCATGTCCACTCCCATTTTCTACCAGAATTGAATCCTGCGTTTGTAAACTGTGATTAGAAATGTCCTGATTGGTCAGTTCATGGTGGTTTAAATTAATATTTTCAAGTGGATGTCCATTTATATCAACACTTTGATGAGTTAAAATAATTTCATGTCCCACAATCAACTGCTCTCTTGGTCCTAAGTGAGCCAAATCAATCTCATCAACCCCACCAATTCCATGGTTGGCCAGAAGCTGCTGGTTTTGTGTCATTATCAACTCATGCTCCATTGGGACAACATCCATGCTCTGCTTACTAGAATTAATCTGCTTCAACAAATTTATTAACATTCTTTCCGTGAGAATCGTCTTTTCTTTAAACTCCGCCAACAAATTCAGTTTGTAGATACAGTTTTCGCACACCATTTTCGGAAGCTCGTCGGTTTCGTGCACCTAGTAAACACAAGTGTTGAGGAAGCAAAGCACCTAACCTAACATTTGCATTACTTGAATAGAAAGGCAAGATTCGATTTTTTTCCGTAACTGGCTTATAATTCCGTCGTTTTGGAAGATGTGGACCGCTAAAATCATTGTGGTTGTTGCGGCACAAAGTCTGCACAATTCATTATATCGGGAAGGGTCGATTGCGGCCATTTTGGTGTATTAACAATTCCAATAAATTACACCTTGTGTTTTCGACGAAATGCTACATATTGGAGAACCGCACTACTCGGGAATACGAGAGGGAGGTCAGAGATCCCGCGGAGTGATGAGAAACATGAAAAAACTGATCATTCACTGTGGATTAGGAAAATTACGAAAACTACGTTTGTGAAAAAGACTTAACACGAAGAGTTGTCAAACTGTGATGACAGCGCGCATGCGTCGTCGAAATTGCGTTTTTCAGAAATTTGGTAGATGCGAAATATTATTCTAAAAAACTTAAAAAAAATTGTTTCTGATATAATTCATTAAATTAACTGTTATCACACCTAAAACACCATAACTTTACAAAACGTCCTGTTATTCCTGATATAAAAAAGTCAAGGAGAACTGTCTGCAATTCTCAAAAAATTAAAAAAATATATTTTCAAAAACAATTAATAAGGTCTGGTTATCACATAATAATTTAATTATTTTAAATACAAATCACAAAAAACACCAACAAACAATAGGTATTCCCCCTGTGTTGACTATTCCAGTTGCTAGGACAACCCCTCATCATCAACACACACCTACGCCTTCAACTTCAATTTATCGATGAAACTAGTTGTTTTTCAGAAGGTTAAGCCACTAGTGAACAATCAATAGAGCCAGACAACCCCTTCGTTACCTAATTATTTTAATACCCTAAATATACAAGAAAAAATGACTGCAATAGAGTCGCCTGATTTCATCGCAATCAACAACACGTCATCTCCTAATGATGATTTTGTAACAACCAAAAGTGTAAGAATAGCAGAAATGGCCAGATTATCAACGCCTAAACCCATAATGCACCTAGGATCAACCACAGAGGTATCTAAACATTTCTAGAGATCACATAATAAATGCAACTTTTTACAGTTCCAAAGACAAGGAACTGGAATTCCCAAAACTCCCTACAAGCCTGGAACGGGATACAAAGCTGGAACTGGGTTCAAACCCACCACTAATTTTAAACAAAGTTTTGAAAAACCAGGAACTGGATATAAACCTGGAACGGGTTTTAGACCAGGGACTGGTGCTGATGTGGTGAATAGACCCATGACGGCGGTGCGAGGGGCTGGCTATACTTCCCATGGTAAACCTTTCGACCCTTTGAATCAAGCTGCGTCGGCCCCAACGCCGCCTCTAGAGTTACAAAAGGATGACTCGTAATTTTTACCATTATTTTTCGTTGAAAATATCTTATTCAAATATCTTGATGTAGTCCTGAACAGAAAATTCGACAACAGAAAGTTAAAATTATGCAAGTGGTGGAAGAGGCCTGTATCGCAGAATGCGAAGGTGACTACCGGAAATCCCTCTCTAAGGCTAAAGAGGCTTCAAATAAGGAAAGAGTTTTGATCAAAATGCAGGAACAGTCAGATTTGAGTGACTTGTACGATATTGACTTAACTTTTGTCGTCCGTATGCCAGAATCTACTCTTTGATAATTATATTCAAAATGATTTTTCAGGTCTTGTTCACACTTGGTAATCAATACGCAGCCAATGAACTATATACAGAAGCACTCAGCACATATCAAATGATCATAAAAAATCGAATGTTCTCAAATGCACACCGTTTGAAAATCAATATGGGCAATATTTATTTCAAGCAAGGCCAATTCCAGAAGGCTGTCAAAATGTATCGGATGGCTTTAGACCAAGTGTCTTCAAGTCAAAAGAATCTGAGGTACCTAGGGAATAATATTGGAAAAAAAAAACAAAGTTTTGTATTATTTGTAGAATCAAAATAATGCACAATATTGCATTAGTTTTTATAAAAATGGGTCAATGGGAAGAAGCAATTTCAAGTCTGGAATATATAATGGGTGAACAAGCTTGTCATCGTGCAGGCTTACACCTGATTATTTGTTGCAGAGCTTTGGAAGATAGAGATAGGATGAAAAGTGCGTTTTCAATGTTGCTTAATGTTCCTTTGGAAGTGGAAGATGATGAAAAATACAACCTTGAACAGGTAACACAGAAGCAGTAAAATAGAACTAATGAATACCACTTTCTGCACTGATAAAGAAATAATTCATTAGTGTTTTCTTTATTTAGGATAATCCAGAAGATGTACTAATTGCAATGACTATTCAAAACGACGATTTACATAAATACGAAATAAAAAAATGCAAAGATGCTGAATATTGCATTTTGACAGCAGCTAAACTTATTGCACCTTTAATTGAAGACACATTTAGTTTAGGTAATTAAAAGGGGTTAAGGCAGTAAGAGTTTTTATACAATTAATTATTTCATCAATAATCGCATATTTAATTATTTTTTAAGACCGAAAACTGATATCTTTTCCCATTTGTAGTGGACAAAAATTTAAATTCTCATTTTTTACAAGTTTACAAACATTTTTTTAGTAAATTTTAGTTTATTATATTTTTTAAATTACATGTTTACTCTAATATGATCTTAAATTTGAAACACATTAAACAAAATAAATCTTTTTAAGGCTATGACTGGTGCGTAATGTCGATCAAAAATTCAGAATACGCCCGCCTTGCCTCAAGTCTGGAAATAAATAAAGCTGTGATGTTTCTAAAACAAAACCAACTGAATGAAGCAATTGATACATTGAAAGCCTTTGAGAAAGACTCAGTTATTGCAATCAATGCTGCAGTTAATTTGAGTTTTATTTATTATTTGGTAAGCCTCTCATATGTGATTGCCAAAAAAAATATTTTTTTTTTCTGTAAGCAAGGAGACATTGAAAATGCAACAAAATACGCTCAAGTTGTTGAAACAAATCCTACAAAAAGTGCAGACGGTTATGTAAATCTGGGAGCATGTTTAATGGCAAAAGGGCAGCCGGAAGATGCCATTAACGCATTCAAAAATGCTTTGGAATTAGATCCGACCCATTTTGAAGCGATTTACAACCTCGGTACTCCTATTTCTTAATTAGAAAACAAATTATAAAAACGAAATCCCTAGGTTTGGTACTGAAACGACAATGTCACTACGCGGAAGCCCTTCAGTGTTTTCAGAGATTTTCCGGCTCACTTGCCCTTCTCCCAAATGTAGTTTACCAAGTTGCTAATTTACTCGAATTGAAGGGTGATAGTGAAGCCGCTGCTGACATGTACCAACAATTACTGGGTCTTGTACCCACCGATGCTGGTGCGTTGCAAAAAATGGGCGAGTTGTACGACCACGATGGAGATAAACAACAGGCCCATCACTACCACATTGAAGTAACTTTTGTCTTATTACGAAAAAAAATCACTAATAAAGAATAGTCTTTCCGGTACTACCCGGCAAATTTGTCGGTAATCAATTGGTTAGGTTCATACTACATTGAAATGCAAGTAGTGGAAAGAGCCCTCGTGTACTTCGAAAAAGCCGCCCTAATGCAACCCAACGAACCCAAATGGAACATGATGGTAGCCGGTTGCCATCGAAGAAGTGGTAACATGCACCGTGCCTTAACCCTGTACCAAGAAGTCCACCGAAAATTCCCGGAAAATGTCGAATGTTTGCGGTTTTTGGTGCGGTTATGCAACGACATGGGGATGAGGGAGGCTCAGGATTACATTCTCGAGTTGAAAAAAATCGAGAAGACGAAAGAAGTCAGAGAGAGGGTTAATAGTAGTCGGCCCAGTTCCCGGAGAAGTAACAGTGGATTATCGTCGAGGGCCGGATCCGGATTTAGTCCAGTTCCCGAACACGGACCACTCACCTCCGCTAACCCGAATTTAAGGAGTTCGCGGCTGATTCGAGCACACAACAGTGCGGAAAGTACCGATTCCGGATTTGGACAAGCTTTAATAGGTTAGACACATACATTAATCTCAATTTCGTTAGTTAAATAAATGAAATAATTACTTTTTTCTATTTCGGTATTATAATAAGTCTACTCCAGCACCCAAATGACGTCATTTGAGTGCTGGAATAAGTCGTTGGCGTTAATTTAATTTTAGTGACGGACTTTCATCACAATTTATTTTCAAATGTGAAAATATGAATTATTTTTATTTTTTACAGCCGCCTAATATTATTCCACATAAATGTCGCCAACCGTCGCAAAATTCTCTAGAAAAAAAAAAGTAAAATTTTCGTTTTTTGATTTATAAAATTTATAAATTAATTTATAAAACGGCAAAATAGAAAAAATAGTATAAAGCACTTGTTGCAGAAGGTTCTTCAAGCACTAATTTGTTTCAATTTCAAATTCTCTCTTTTCATACGTAAAAACCAGTTAGTTAAAAATTTTTAATGATTTTTCAGATGCCAGTTATTCGGATCCTCTGGGCCCCCAGCCACTTCGGCCAAGGACAGGTGCTGGTAAACCATTAGATTTTGATGATTTTGCTAACGATGAATTAGGAGATGATTTATTACCTGAGTAATTAATTATTGTCTTATACGTATGGTAAAATGTAGTAAAGGAGTGAAAAGAAATTATTTTTTCAATTATAAATAGATGTTTTATAAAAATTAATAAGAAAACAGGTATTTTGATTTTATAAAAATAATATTGATCACTTGTGAAGTAATAAAGATAACACATCGTTTTTTTTTTGTTTTTTAAATTGTCAAGTATGTAAAGAATGTTTTCAAAAATAATAATTTGTTATAAAATATTGTTCTTGCACACTTTAAATTAAAACTGTTATTGTTTTTGTTTTACATTAAAATAGCAACAATAAACAATTAGTTTTATAAAAAAATAAGTTTCAGATAAGTTTGCATGTAATAATACTACACCTGTTAACCTGTTAAGATAAACAATAAAGCTTGAAACTTATTTTAATAAGTCTTTGATGTTGATTTAGTGATTTAACAGCTTAACTACGTATTATAATTTAGAAAATTTACAAAATTTCTTAACAATTGTTCTAATACAATCACAGTTAAATAAAAGCTTAAACATGTAGTGATTTTTAAAATATCGGCAAAAATCTCTCAGTCACATTATGTAAATAAATTCTCTAACTACACAATTGCAAATATACAAAATTATCCTTAAATATAAATTTTATTCCGTATACCTACCAAGCACCATTGATCTCAGTAATGGTCCGACTTCTTTAGGGTCTTGTAACACTTCTAACAACATTTTTTCTACGTTTCTCGTGATTGAAACTTTTTGATGATCTTTTAGAGGGTATTCAAGCGTACTTGGCCCACCCTAATAGTAACACCAGATGAAACATATTTTTAAATTAAGTACGGGTTTTCATTACCTTATACCAAAAATTAACAGTTACAGTTGGCCCTCCCCTTAATAACGACTCAATATGATGCCACCAGTAAATAGGTATATACAAAACATCCCCAGGACCTACGACAGCCTCACAACCCCTGACATTTTTAAATTTGGGGAACTTGCTATAGTCGGGACGCTCGAAATCAACCTAATTTTACAGCGAATATTAATGAAACGTTCAAATTAGTTTCATAAGTTATTTACCATACTTTGCCTATCGTGCGGATGATATACTGGGTATGGATATAAACATTCAAATTGACTTGGTGGGAATAAAATACATCGTTTGTAGCCTTGCACTTGAGCAAAAAAATTCTCTTGCTCGTCGTAATGGCAAGGTGTTTGGTTGCCCTCCATTGCGACAAATAATAAATTTGATGTTAGTGGTCCCCAGTTGTGTTTAGTTTGTTTGCCGTTAACGTAATCCCAGTCAAATTTAACGAAATCCTCAACTATGTTATTACCAACAGTTGTTGTTAGTGATTGTTGCAAGTATAATCTGGCAAAAGCAGTAACGTACTTAAAGAAATAAAAGTAAAATAAATTTTTAGTTACCTTTCGTCTCCCTTTTTCCACTCCTTAACCTTCTTCATAAAGTCTTCAATTCTCATCTCAACCTTCTTCGTTGGAGGTGTAAATTCAACCCCTTTGGAGTTACTAACCCTGTTATATATTTTTTTCTCATCATAATACTTGAATTTGTGATTTTGAGACACGAAAACCGTGTGCCCCGAATGACCTAAATTCCTCTCTAGATAGTCCAAATTCCATCGTTGCACCGCAGGCTTAACGACATTAGATTCAGTTATGACCACCGGCTTCTACAACCCAAAACAACCAACTTTAGCACGAATTTTCGCATTTGTGATCAAGATTGAGGTTATGTTTTCATAACCTCGCCGCTTTTTCACCGGAATACTAACATTTCCCTTGATAAATTCGTCGATTTTAGAGTCTTTGTAGTGAAGTCTCGGAATTTCCTCTAAATTTAAATCATACTTTCTCAACTGGCTGGGGTCCCATGGTTTCTTATCACCATCCATTTTACGATTTCGGCGAGGCGCATAAAAACTGGGCTTTGATAAGGATTTATGCCGTTTGATATTCGAACTGATAATCATTTACTTTTCGGAGACACAATTACTAAAAATGGAAAAAATTTACATTCACAATTTTGCACTCCCCCACCAGAAATAAAATAATGCGACGAGTGGCGTAGTGGCAACTTGGCGAGGCGAGCGCGACGTCACGTAGGCCACCGTGGGTGCCTAAAATCTAATTAATTAAATTTACGATGAATTTCATACAAAATTGCCCAGATTTAACTAAAAATCAATTTTTTTTGAGTTTAAAAAAATCGCTGTTATTTACAAAAGAACATTGCAAGCTTTCAGGGGGTCTGAAGCCTTAAGTATAACTCTTTGGGGCTCTTACAGTATATATGTGTTGTTTTTTTAATATTCCAATACCTAGGGACCTACTGCTGATCATATACTGATGTAGACATCAAAATTTATTAGGTACTTTATTATTATTTAAAAAAATTGAAACTAACCGCATACTTAAACGGATATAAATATTAAAGTGTTTCATAAGTTTTTTTTTTTTTTGATAGAAGGTTGTAGGTATATTCTCCTGTCTGAAAACAACACATCGACTTTTGAAAATACTACCCCCAAACAAGTAGGAGAATCAAAACCATAAAATTATATTTTTTTAATCTAAGAAAAAAAATATTAAGTTAAATTAATTAATTTATAGTTTCAACCAAATTCAACATTTATTAATTTATGAGAGCCACTGTCATTGTTTTTAGGAAAAAAAAGTAACCCAAAGTTTGGAAGAAACCTCTTATTGTAGACTTATATTGTATACATTTATAAAACTATGAATCTTTCACTTCTTCACTTGTAATTTTGATATTATTTATTCTCCAGTTATCTTCTCACCTGACTTATTCCATTTTTAAAAAAACATGTTTCATTAAAAAAATAAACGGGCGCTTCTCTGTAAACTGGACAACTCGGTCTAAGAAAGTGTCTATACCACTTTTGTTCTTATATATTAAAAAAATCTTACTAAGGGAATAGCAGATAAACCATTAATATTTTCATTATCATAGGAAATATTGAGCATTTTCTGAAACATCATTACAGGGGACTGTTACCTAAGGCAGGGGACTGTTTATTTAAATGAAAAACATTGTTTTAGTAACAAAATCTTTTTTATTTTTAGAATTGAACGTTATTGTAATTAAAGAAAAGTAGTTATCACATAAATAAAGCACGAATAGTTATAAAGAAAAAAATAAAATCAATAAGGGATACTTAAATTAGAGCTTATCGTTTTTCAAAAACATTTACAGGTGAATTTACACGTTTTCACTAGAACTTTGAAGTTGTACCTAAGTATTTTCTCAAAAAGTAATTTTGGTTCGCACAACGTAATGACTGCTGTCACATATAATTTTTTTATAGGTACTTAAAGCCAATGTCCCGTAGAAAAATTTGATATAAATAAACTTCTAGAAGCCGAAAAATTGAGTTCATTTTTCGCAAATTCAAGCAAGTTATTTAAACTGAAATTATGCCCGCTTATTCTAGAAGATTAAAAACATGCCGGCTTAATTCCTCCCACAAATAAAAATTATGAAACCAAAACCCCTATATTTTTTCTACCCCTTATTGTCTTGTTCGTCTCCTTCTCTTTTTCACTCAAAATTTTGTCTTTTGTGTTAAAAGTAAGTGCATTTCTTTATTTCTGTACTTCGATTCAAACTTGTACCTTGAATGTTTCAGCCAACCGTTTAATCAATTCCATTTTTGGCAGAGTGGAGCACAATTCCAAAAACTGCTTTTGACACGTCCTGACAGGCCATTACCTCAGTATCAACAAATTTCGAATTTCCAAATTTTTGATTTTCAATGAGCGCACTGACTTTTTTGACAATTCAAATTTAAGTCAAAATGATAGGTACTGTCAATTTTTATTCTAATGTATTATGATCTGTGACTATGATCAGTGTTAATTTATGGAAAAATTTTCTTTATTTTTAAAAGGTTGACTAGGAATAAAGATTAAAGTATGTAGTTCTCCGTAGGTGTGACAAAAACAAAGCTCACTTCGTCGACACGTGAAACATTTATTTTGCGATTTTGCTTGTGTATCCAATAAAAAACGAACAAAAAAGAAAACCAATTTATTTAGGCAGTCTATATAATCCATTAGAATAAATTAATTGATGCTCTCTAACTTTCCTATCCAAGAACACTTTCAATTCCTGCAAATTACACTCAATTGTAGGGCCTTGAAAGGCAAACATTTTCAGCATTTGGTGAATCCTCTCCAAGGGCAACGTATCCAAATTCATCAACATACCCAAAATGTACGACCAGAAAGTCTGTTTCAAAAAAAATTAATAGGACTCGCAAGGGAAAGAAGTTTATTACCTGTAATTCCTCTTCACGTTGGTCTTGAGCACTAGCCATTGCCGACTCTGATTCAAAATCTTCAACAACAATATCATCCTGTATATTATTTTCGTTATTTTCTTGTTCTTCCTGTAAATAAAAAACGTCTGGTTCGGGCTCAGTTATGATACCGTGTGATTGCCAAAAACTCAGTTTGCGTCTTAGAATTGTCGACGGTACGTGCATTACTTTACTCAAAGCTTCCAAAGACCAAGTATCTTGAAGGAGAACAAAAAACAAGATGCTTTTCAGTAATACAGAATGTTCCAGAACCAAACCACCATACGTCAACCAGTTTTTCTCATTCTGAGAAAAAAGTTTAAATGTTCCAGCGAGTTGAAAAAGTCCATTAGTGACTTTTAAATGGTAAAATTAAATAAACATTATACAGGTGCGCCAGAACTCGCGCCCAGAGAAAAATGCCATATAAGGTAAGATAGCAGGAACATGAAAAAAATGTTAAAAAAATTTTATCTATAAAAATTTCGAAGTTATGAGGGTTTATAGTTTGCATTTTGACTCTATTTATTTTTGTTAGAAAAATAATTTTCCAAGTTTTTTTGCTATAGGCTATTAAAAGAGGAAACAAGGAAACTGTATCGTAAATTCTAACTCTGTTCAATGTTATTTGGGGTTTTTATTGTCAAAATTTTTGTCCCTTTACTAAATAATTGTAAAAAAACTTATACAAGATCATCAGTATTATTAAATAGATATAAAAAAAATGTCAAACGTCAAAAATTAAATGTCAAAATTTCTTGACAGATAGAATTTTTTAAATATTTTTTTCATGTTCCTGGTATCTTACCTTACTTGAAAATTTTCTCTGGGGCGCGAGTTCTGGCGCATCCTGTATAGGACATTGATAGATACATACTACTAGTCCATCGCCAAAAATTATTTTTTTAACTATACAGCGTGTCTCAAAAATAAGTTACAATACAAACTTGTGTTTTTTTAAATGAAACATCATATGTTAGCGTTTTTGGATGTAGATTTTTATGACAATGTTTTTAAGCTAAACTTTTATTGGTCGATTTTTCTTAGTTTTAAAAATAAGACGTTTTTTTTTGACGAAAACATGCACTTTTTAAAAATTTATGACACAAAAACTAAGAATCTAGAAATATTTTTTTACTACCGCAAAGAAAAAGGTACAAGCTATAAGGTAACATTTTTTTAGTGTGTTGCATTTGCAAAGATAAAAAAGGCGTTTGTTAAAAGTTCAATAACTTAAAAAAATTAAATCAACACTCTATTTATTGTTTTTGGATTTAAAAGACTAAAATTGTCTTTCTAAAATTATTTACTTTTAGGTGTTTATAATCAATAACTAAAAAGATATTTTATTTTGTACTAATTTCAGTAGATAAAATAGTCTTTTATCGTTTAGTGAAATAAAGTAATTTTTATCTACTATTCATATTTTATCTCATCTCATAAATATGTCGCATTGACAATATCAATTAAATGAGACTCGAAACTAAGCAACTGTATCATAAATATCGTTTTTAATGCATCCCGACCAACTTGTACAGATCATGTTACTAAGCTGTAACTTTTTAACAAATAAAAATATAAAAAAACATTTAAAATTTTTCTCAGAATGATATTTTCTATCACTGGTTAACGTTTAACGGTTTCTTTTTGGAAAATCCTGTATTAACTTACTCTTATCTTGAAAATGCATTAGAATCGTCGCATGCACTGGTGAAACCGACAAATTCAATGTCCTATCAGCCAACTCGATTTCAAGATCCACAATCCCTAAGTGATTCTTCCAACACAAAGTCCTACTCCCTTTCAAAGTTTCAAAAGCGCCGGTGTAACTCTCCATCTGTTTCACTAATTTATTGTGGAGTTCAAGCTTCTCGTCCTTGAAAGGTGGCCAAAATTGTGCACTTAGTATCATGGCCGACATGGGAATCTCATCGTCAGAACAACTCAAATCTTGCTGGATATGTTGATTAATTCGCTTAGAATCGACGATATCTTTCAACATAACTTCACAATAGTGGAGTTGCGACTCACCAAATCGCAACTTGAGGAGTTCAAGATAACGAATTTCTTTCTCCGTGTCGCAGGAGTATTGAGACAAAAGACGATCGGCTAATAACGTACGATATTCGTTAACGAAGAGTTCTTTACTGCCGTAGACGTTGACTAGCATTGAGATTATGTCAGAAGTACGAGGAAGTGCCGAAGATTTGCCTTAAATATTTATTACAATTATAAACAAAAAAAAAAACAAACAGAAGACCATTACTAGGGACAACATCTACCGGATCAGGGGTCCATGTTTCCCAGTCTTCAACACCCTCTTCGGTGGGGGTATTCTCATCTATTTGCACGGCTTCGCCTCGAACTAGTTCTTCAGCTAAGTCATTGGGACCTTCTTCGGTCAAACTACTCACCACACATCTGAAACAAAAAATCTCTTATTCAAGAATTATTGTACACTAACCTCAGTTGGTTATGAAATTGTGACATTTAAACACCTTTCATCGACAACTAGATTAAAAAAAAAAAATATTTTTAAACCTTATTGTGTCTTCCCGACTTCTCAAATACTGGTGAACTGGTTGAGTGATTGTCTCTAAAAGTAGTCCACAAGGGTCTAAAACCCGCAATGATCGAATTGTCGCCACATAAGCCATCAAGACGTCAAAAGTGCTGACTCCTGGATGTAACAATCTCGTTTCAATTGCTTTTTGCAAAGTTCTAGTTAAATGAGGTTTTAAGTCGGTCTTGGGAAGACATAGTCGAAGGTCTTCGAGGGCGGGAAGTGAATCAGGATATTCTAAAATTATTGTATCACAAAATTACATGAAAATTTATCATTTTTACCAATTATGATGCTAAATAACTGATCAATTCGTATTTTAGTGTAAGTATTGTATAAATAATTAATTAGTTTTTTATCAAATTCATCCATAGCTTCGACTGCAGGATTATAATAGTAAATTTTTTTCAACCACGAAATAACAACGGTTTGAAGCCACTAAAAATAATTCATTAAATTAAATTTAACAAACGTTGTAATTCTACTTTTTCTAAGCTTTCAATGTGTGAATTATCAAAATTGTCTTTACAGATTTTTTGGATATGAGTCTGAATGTAATTATAAATCAAATCTGTTAAAGCCTGACCAATTAAGGGTTCCAATAAGGTCATTTTAGCCAACTTCCTGAAAAAAAAATATTATCAAGCGTGAAAAACTTAGATAAAAGCATACTTATTAGTTTCTTCAAACATTTCGTGACAGGAACAAGAAAATTTCTCTTGCATACACACAACACACTGCCCATTTGTACTATTTTCGTCCTCTGGGTCTTGCATTTTAAGTGCTGTTTCATAAAAACTTATAATCATCCATTCATGATAAACAGGTAGTTGGGATAATAAAACAGCTCTAATAATTAACTTTAAAGCTTCATGAAGGCAAGTATGATTATATACAGGTTTAGTAAAATTGCTTGCCTCTCTTAGAAGCATCAGTTTGTTAATAATTAAATCAAGTTTCATATAATTATAAAACAAAGTTTTAATCACATTGTAAAATTCTTGAAAAACTGCTGTTTCCTTCTCAGTTTTCTGAAAATGAGACCAAAAGTCCGGGACTATTTCTTTCTTTAAACGTTCCTCAATTTTTATTATGACCAAATCCTGAATTTGTTGTGTTAAATTAAGCCTTTTGATAATGTTGATAGCCTCAAATGAAGCAGAGTCGAAATCATCATCAGAAATCTTTGAAAAACTGTCTAAAATGGGAAATGCTTGTATAATAGTGTTCCACGCACTTTTTAGGTCGAGATTCTGATTATTCATTGTAAAAATTGTAATTAAGGTAAATGTGAAACCAATATTAAACACGGAAATGCACGGAAAATGCGTAGGTTATGTTGTTATGTCAAAGCTGTCAAAAGTCAAGCTCGGTGAAGGTAGCAAGTAACTACTTGCTAGCAAGTATAGAATTACAGCAGACCAGTGCAGTTTTAGTTATAAGTAAAAATTTAACGTTTCGTGCTTCAACAATTAGTTTTTGAAATAACCACAATTAAACCTTTTTTTACAAAAATTATTATCTAATAAAGTTTACAATATTTACATTTTATTGAATTTCTATAATATTTTTTATTTGCCAAAATTGCCATTTTAACAAAAAAAATGCAAAACTTAAAAGCAAAACAAGATCTTATTTTTAAAACACAATTACATATTTTAAAGCATTTAAATTTTTATTAAATATAACTTTGTAAAAGTAAATAGTTAATAAAAACGCTTGGTTCCATACTTTTTTAAACTGAACTGGTGCGCTGTGATTTTATACTTACTAGCAAGTAGCTACCTTACGAAGCTGTCAACAATTTGAAATTTACCTTCAAATTTAACCGTGATCTAACCTAAAAAAGTAACAATCACGTTTTAATTTAATTTTCTAATCATTGGTGTTATAGGGCTATAGGTCAATGACTAAACACTGTTAAGTATTAGGAGAAGAAGATAATTTTTTGAAAATTTTTTCAAGATCATAATGGAATATAATTTTAACAAAAGCGACGATTTTATTTATAACAATAAGAATGTTAATAGTTTAAAAAGAGAACATAATTCTGATGAATCTTTTTCACCTGAAAAAAAATTAAAATCCACAAAAAACGAAAGCCCCTCATTTTTTCCTTTGGAGATTAAAGAGGAAATTTTAAGTAGTGATGAAAAAAAGAAGAAGAAGAAAGAAGAACTCGATTTTGGTTCGGTAGATGTGACTATTCCATCTAAAAAATCCAAGAAGAAAAACCATACTTTCGGAGAACACAAGAAAAGTAGAGTCAAATCAGAACTCTCAACCGACTTATTTGAAAATAATAAGAAAAAGAAGAAAAAAGAACATAATACATTATTTGTAACAACCTCTTCTGAAGAACATTCAGCTGATGAAAAACTTAAAGATAAGAAGAAAAAGGAAAAAGGGTATGATGAGCCTTTAGAGATTAAACAGGAAATTCTAAGTAGTGGTGAGAAAAAGAAGAAGAAGAAAGAAGAATTCGATTTTGGTTTGGAAGGTGAGACTACTCAATCTAAAAAATCCAAGAATAAAAAACATGCGTTTGGTGAACACAAGAAAAGTAGTGACAAATCACAACTCTCAACCGACTTATTTGAAAATAAGAAGAAGAAGAAAGAACATAATACACTATTTGTAACCTCTTTTGAAGAACATTCAGCTGATGAAAAATTTAAAAATAAGAAGAAAAAGGAAAATGGGTTTGATGAGCCTTTAGAAGAGTGTACAAAAAATCACAAGAAAAAACTTAAGAAGAAAAAAGAAGTTTATGATGTAGAGATGGAGGAAACGGAGAAAGTCTCTACTGATAAAATTACCAAAGAGTGTTTTACTGAAAGTACTGAAGAAGAAGAGCCTAAAAAGAAAAAGAAGAAAAAACGGCATTGCGTTGATAGTGAAATGTCAACTGATTATTCTATTATTAATGAAAATTTAAATGATACGGAAATTTTAACACCTGAAAAAGTTAAACATAAAAAGAAAAAGCATTCAAGTAATGAAACTAGTGACATTATTACAGAAACTGAAGTTCACAAGAAGAAGAAGAAGAAACACAAACATGATAAAAAACATAAATATGACGCACTACCAATTGAAATTTGTCAAACTAAAAGTGATTCTTTGGAAAATGTAGTTAGGAATTCAAAGAAATTAGATAAGAAATCAGAGAAGCTTTCGGAGGAAATTCCTGAAACAACTGCGCTTTCTCAAAAATCGCATAAAAAATTAAAAAATTCCGAACTTAATGTTTCTGATAGCGCTGTTAAAAATTCAGAAGATGAGGATCCCAAACCCAAAAAAGCGAAAGCTCAAGGTACAGATGTGAAGACTGAAAATACATCTTTAGATAATTCACTGCTAAACGATTCTAAAGATTTGGAAAAATTGGTTAAGGACTCTGAAAGGAAAAAAGTTACGTCTGAGTCGAGAAATTTTGAAGAACTTCATAATGGATTAGAAAATTCTCAGAAAGCGCAGGAAAGTCTTAAAAATGACTCATCTGATTCCGCATTTGAAGTTTCTGATAATGGGGTTGAGGGTTTTAAAAGTAAAAGATCTAAACGCAAAAGGAAGAAATCCACATTTAACGCTAAAATAGAAACACTTATTTCAGAAAATATATTTAGTACTGATGACTCTGAAGAAAAACCTGAAACAAGTGGGTTGTCTTTACAAAACCGTGAATCTGTTGTCATCACTCCAGATTTGTTTTTTGATATTGTGGAAAATGATAAAAATGAATTGAGCTACGAAGAACGTCAGGTTAGTTAATTTTCCTTTGAAAAATGTTATTAATGTTATTATTACAGAGATTGAAAAATTTCAATGTGCTTTTGCCATGGCCAGTTCATCCGCTACACCGTATAGAAACTCGGGTAGCTAAAGGCCCATCCCAGAAGCAGTGGAAGGAAATTAACGCCTTGAAAATCAAAATAAAACACGGAATTTTTAATAAATCAGAAGACGAGATTATTAGGAGAAATTGGGAAGAGTTTTGTAAAGTAAGTTGATGCTTGACCCCGATGTTTATTTATTTTTGATTCTTGTTTGTAGCTCCACGACACGCTCACAAACCCTAAATATTTTTTACGTTGTAAAACTTCAGAAGGGAAATTTCTTATGCCTATAAAAGAAAAAGTAAGATTTGTTCAATTTTTAGCACACGGTCTACCGAATCGTTTATTGCATACTGTGTACATGAGGTTTCAGAGAATATTTTTTCCGAAAGAGCTCAAAACTGGAAGGTATTTATGAAAAAATCTACATGAAAGATATTTTTAATTTTTGCTAGGTTTACGCCAGAAGAAGATAATACTATTTTGGAATATTTAAAGACATCCAGATCGCAAACACCATACGCGGATTTAGCGAAAATTTTAAATCGGGACAACTTCGCGATTGAGAAAAGACACAGAAAATTAAAATTTACCCTTGAAGGCAATTTTAGGGTCAAATGGGATACCGAACAGATAGCGAAATTTATGCAACATTTTGTTGATGTTACAAAAGTCGACAGTGTTGAAGATTTGGAATATAGGAATATCACTTCTGAGGAGTGGAAGGAAATGTCTGCAAGGTTAAACATACCAACTATAAGGTTGCGACCTGCATGGCTTATTAAAATACACCCTCGCATTTTTATCAATCGCAGTGTTCATTCGAACCTTATTAAGAAGCTTTTAGTTGACGTGTTAGTATTGTACAAAAGCAAATATTTTTTGAACAAGACATCTTTTTAGATTGATTGAAAAGGGGGAAAGTGATTGGAGAGACGTTAATTGGCAAGAAATTGCTGAAGAATTTGGCGGTTTCACTGGCTTAGCGTTGAATAAAATGATGAGGGAAATTGTTAGAACTCATGTTCCTGTAGATAAACAAAGTGATTTAGGAGGTGCGTATTTTGATAGGTTTTAACTTTATAATAATATGCCAACTTTTAGAATGTTTAAAGTGCTTGGCGAATGAAAACTTTCCAGTGGGGCGCAAAATACGAAAAATAGATGTTGTGGACGCTAGAAATTAAATAAAACTTAATATTTCTATTGAATAAGTTTTTTCCCACCAGAAAATAAAAATTACAGACCTATTACACGATATAAAATAATGCAATTTAAAACAATCTTTTGTAAAAATAAAATAGCTTAAATACATGTCCCGTTTATGGAAGTCGTAGCGGTACCTAATGACATTATAACTAAGTCTCAAAATTTTAATTTGTTCGATTTTTGTTAGTCACTTATAAATCTCTACTCGTATTGTGTATCAAGTGTCCCCAAGTAACAAATGCTATCACAGTTGACCACTGGTGTTGCACAGTGGGATATCCTTCCTTACACTTTTTCGCTTGATTTTCAACTTCTGCAAAACATAATTAATACAATTTTTGAATTTTGAAAAAACAAATTACCCTCATTATTGTCGCGATGATTGAAGCAATTCCACCCAATTTCTCCTTCAGCTTCTAGACCAATGAGCGGAGTGTCTGGGAAAACTTTATTGAAAACTCGTGACTCGTGATTTTTTCGCATTTTAGCCGAGCAACATATTCTAAATGCTAGACTGTTACTTCGCAAGATGATTTTACTTTTGAACTGAAAATATGCCTTTATAAGTAACTTCAACCGAAATTGAAAAAATACCTTGAGAAGATGGTCTTCAAAATCCTCTGAAGTTAAATTATTTCCGTTTATGACGACGGAAGATGCGTCAAACACACTATCACAATAAATATCCTCTGAGAAGGCTATACAGAGACTGTTTAGTCTGCGAATTGTGTGATATTCTGGCAGTTGTGGGAATACCGTGGTTCTGCGGATTATGCCGCCAGCTACAGCAACCTTTTCGCATTCCTCTCTATAATCAACGAATTATCAAAAGACTTTTAACGATTTTTTAAGCTTACTCTGGAATAAGACGCTCCAACATATCATAAATATCATGAGCAAAATCGACTTTAGAAAAAAAGAGTATGCATTTGACTTTTTCATTTGATTTAAAATGATCATCTCTTGGACAAACAGGACTACAATAAAACATTGAAACCCTGACATTTGGTATAGGTGGTATAAAACAACCATCAAATAGAGGTACGCTGGACTTATTTACAACTTGTTTTGAGAACATTGATGCCACTCCAGGGCATCCTATTGCACAATATGCTGTCCCACCTGGGACTACCTGATCAGATAAAAAGTCTGCAACTGTTTAAATACTTAGTAAAAAATCTGTGCTAAATTGAATCTTTTACATCTGATTTTCCTTGAAGACAAGTTTTCATGACAGCAGAAAAAGTCGTTCAGTGAGACTGCACGATAATTGAATAAGATAATCCCTAAATTAACATTGTTGTACAGGTAGTTGTTGCTGTGATAGACATAACTTTGCCGCTTTTTGCGAAAGACAGTTATCCAACTAATTTTATTGCGTTTTTCTASAATTCGATCTGCMGTTATTTGCCACGATTTTTTCACCATTGAGGCTTTTTGTAAGTCACTGTAATCTAAATAATTGAACACAATTTCAAGTAAGGGATAGACTGATTCTAGGGCTTCTGCAAAGTCAAAATCTTCCTTAGTTGTTACATTTACTTCGGTTTTAAGCTGACTTGTCTTTTTTAGAGTAATGCATACTCTACCTTTACTACAATAAGCCTAAAATTGATTGTTTACATAAGTTGTAATAACCGAGTTTGTAAAGAACAAAAGCAACTATGCTTACCATATCTGTTGCTTCATATAATACTGATTATCTTTAAATCCTACGTCATTTATTCGGAATATAATTAATATTTCTGCAATAATATTATTATTGACAATTTTTTTCAACGATCAAAATAAATCATGTCATTTTGCTGTCATTTGTGCTCGGCGTACTTGCCAATTCGCACCTACGAAAAATCAATTAACAAATTGATTGTTCCTTTTAAATCATAATTGCAAATTGCATGGGAGGATAACCTCAACAAAAAAATATTTTTTTATTAAAATTAGCAAATCGCAAGTTATTATTAAAAATAAGAATTTCATCCAAAGATCTGGCAACGAGGTGTGGAATTTGACAGACAATTGTCAACAGCAACATAACCTCCCAGAAATTCTAGAGTTTTTGCGGTTTAAATACACGTAATTATTTTAAAGGAAATGGCAAATCTTGATCGTTGTTTTGTGAGTGGTTGGTCAGATGACGAAGACGGTATTGAACCTGAACGAAATCCCTCTGGTAAACCCATTAAAATACCCATTGTGTCTTGTTTCTCACTCAACATTTTGCAGAAGAGAACCCTAAACGCATTTTAGCCGCAGCCGAAAACGGAAAACTAGATGAAGTCAAAGCCTTACTAAAACTCGACCCCACTTTAGTTAGTTCAACTGATAAAGAAGGCTACACTCCTCTTCACAGAGCTTGTTATGGCAATCACGTTGAAGTCGTGAAATATTTACTTCAAAACGGTGCAGATATCGCTGCTAAAACAGAAGTGCAATGGCAACCTTTGCACTCTTGTTGTCACTGGAATAACATTGAGTGTGCACAGATTTTACTTGCTGAAGGGGCTGATGTAAATGCTCTATCTGAAGGGGGACAAACTCCTCTGCATATTGCTGCATCTCATGGCGTGTGTTATGACTTGGTTCAGTTGCTGCTGATGCATCCTTATATTAAGCCACATTTAAAAAATAACAGCAGTGAAACTGCATTTGATATTGCAAGGAGGAGTTCAAAGTATAGGAATGTTTTTGATATGGTTGACCCACTAATAGACCTAAAACATATAGAAACCTAATATTTTTTATTTAGTTTATGTTAATGAACCTACTACTTGTTATTATGTTGTATATAATGTTATAGTGACACATACAGGGACATTTTTTTTTACTTTCAACATAGCTCTATGTTCAGTTTAAAAAAGCACAGACCAATGCATTGATGTCATGCGGGTCTACAATTTAAGAGCAACGAATTAAAAAATTGCTTTATTGAAATAAAGATGATGGCAAGACAAACAGAAAAATTACAGGCAGATGTTATAGCAAAAAATTTGAACAACAGCAATGCATTGGTCTGTGCTTTTTTAAACTGAACATAGAGCATGTTTAGAGTTAAAAAAATGTTCTTGTTATTGTCTTTACAAATAGAATAAACCTGAATGAATTTTATTTATATTTATATTTGCTTTAAATTTAAATTAAGGGCTAAAATGTACTAATTGTAATATTCATTTCTTTCGAAAATTTACATTTTTTTTAGTTTCTAGAAATCTTTCTCTAATATGATTAGTAAATTCTACTAATCAAATGCACCTTTATTTAAATTAAATTCATAGAAATTGTAACAACAATTAAACCTGGGAATATACATATGTGCATAAGCGAATATTTTTTTAATCTTTTTCGCAATCTTCCGTAGAATAACTCACTAAAGCTATAATAATATTTTTGAAATTGTACAAATATTGTTGCATTAATTGTGAAAGGAAATAAATTGGTATGTTCCATTCCTCTCAAAAGTCTATTCCGGCAAATGCCTTTCAAAAAATTCAATTCCGTTCACGTCAGACCTGAATCAGTAATGAAGTTTAATTATATTTTACCCAGGCTCAAGTCTTGAAAGAGTGGACGAATATGAAGTCATTGAGAATTCAGTGCTAACCATTTTATTATATTTCTCGTTCCCCTCACATTCTCAAAATATTTGCGGCGTTAGATCGGAACCATTCCAAGATAAGAATTGCAGCATTTCTAAATGCATACTTACCTGCATTTCACAATATCAACTTTGAAAATATTTTTCTACATATTGTTTACAAAGAACAACAAATTGCAGTTTTCAAAATGTATTATTTTTCATTCATTTTAAATTCCCACTACTTTATGCTGTAGCTTATGAAAAGGACTAACTCCCCGAATTTCCTTATAAAGGTCATTGGAATAAATATTATAAGTCAGTTCTTCAAGTCCCACTTCTTTGTCTTTTTTACACTTATTTATAGCATCATCCACAGTTTTTTTACGCTTGTTTTCGATTTCCTTAAGCTCATCTTCAGTTACAAGTTTTGCGTCTAAAATTTTTTGCTTAAAATTTGTAATGGGGTCTCTTCTACTCCGCATCTCTTTAACTTCTTCATGAGTTCTATAACTAGTCCCGGGGTCAGACATGGAGTGTCCAAAGTATCGGTAAGTTTGGGCTTCGAGAATAATGGGGCCTTTGCCAGAGATACAATGATTAAATGCAAATTTTGCGGCTTCTCTCATCGTTAAAACGTCCATACCGTCAACCCAAATTCCCGGAATTAAATCCCCTCTGGTGTAAAAATCTCTATTGGCCGCATGTCTTTCAACACTTGTCCCCATGCCAAATAAATTGTTCTCGCAGAGGAATAAACAAGGCAAATTCCACATTTTTGCTATATTGAAGGCTTCAAAGACTTGTCCGTTATTGGCAGCCCCGTCTCCGTATACCGTTATGGCAACCCCATCTTCATTTTTGTATTTGAAAGAAAGGGCTACACCTGCGCCCAATGGTACATGAGCCCCAACAATGCCACTACCCCCGATGAAATTTTTGCCGTACATGTGCATGGAACCCCCTTTGCCTTTTGAACACCCGCCTGTGGTCCCCATAAGCTCGCAGACAACAGGAGATGGGTCTAAATTATAATTTAAGAGAGTCCAAGCATGGTTTCTGTAACTGGTAACGATGACATCGTTGAGGCGGACGTTGGATTGGATGCCTACTGCCACGGCTTCTTGACCGGCATAGAGGTGACAGAAGCCCCGGATTGCTTTCGCTGTGTATAATTTACTGATGGCCATTTCCATTTTGCGAATGGTTTGCATTCGATCGTAGATGGTCAAAGCATCGGGTTTTGTGAGGGTGACTTGGGTGGCAGGCCCTTCATCGAGGCGGTGCAGACGAAAAGGTTCTGTTTGAAAAGTGGCCTCAGTCGAGTAAAAATGTTTGAAAAGTCTTGGTTTCATTAAAACTTTCTTTACAAATGTTTTTAACATTTTGGATGTTGTTTTGACACTTTTTTAAAACTGTCAAATTTGTGGAGAACCTTTCAGTAGTCAAAATTTATTTCAGAATTTTGAGGTTTCGTTTGATAAAATTTTTAGAAATCTGGGAAATAACCAAATCGCCTTAAATTCACTTTTCTGCATTATTTTATACTTAAAACGTGTATCAAAACATATTGCTATCTATTTTGGGCATCTCCAAACTATGTAGTTTTTGGAAAAAAATCCTAAAATATTAATAGTTATTTGTACTTGTTCCAACGGAAACAAGTGTTTCTTCTCCTCCAGTAGGTGGAAGTTACTGTCCGAGATTTGTTACCCACCCAGGGAGGAAAGACACTTTCCTCTAGTGTAATACATATTATTTTTCCTACGATTCAGCAAGAAAAACTTTAAAATTTACTTAAATTTTTTTTGATATTCCATTTTCGCTATTAAATCTAGCAGCATCTTTTCCGTTTTTATGTGGGAGGTAAAATTTTTACTTTAATTTTTTTTTATATGTAAGTATATAAATTTAAATTTTTATTTTTTATATTTTTAATGTAATTTTGACAGATGAGAGAGATAAAACTTTTACCTCCTTGGGAGGTAATTGGGCACTTTCTTTTCATCAATTAGGGTGGAAAAACTTACTTTCTGTTAGGGTCGTAAGAAAAATTAAATAGGTTAAATGTCAAATTAGCTTTAAATTAGACGATTAATTGTGTATGACACTCGGTCTAAGGCTAAACCTACAAAGGATTACATATTTATTTAGAAAAAAACACGTAAAATATTTGAGACACGTCTAAAATGAGTGAAACCTTAATTTTTTTCTGATTCTACTTTACTTGTATTTTATTCTAAATTTCGAAGAAATTAGTTTGTTTATATAAATTGTGTTAAGATTATTTCCAATAGTAAAATATTGAACAAAGATTAAGATTTTGGATTAGAAACAATTTTATAATTGTGGTTAAAATATATTTTTAATGTTTAAATTGCAATAAACTTATACAAAATGAACCATATTTAGAAAAGCTTTTTTTATAAAAATTAATTATTTGTAAAACAGATTTTTAAATAACATTGTCGAACACAAAAATTTTTCTTATGATTTGTAGGTATCGGGAAAATATTAATAAAAACAGTCGAAAACAACCAAAAAATTTAGCTGAAACTATAACTAGGTGGATTATCCGAAGTTCGAAGTTAAAAACAGTTGGTTTGTTTTTTGGTTTATAAAGATGCATTTTATTACTATTACTAATAAGTGTTGCTAATGTGGTTCTATTGTCCACCTAAGAGTGGTGGCCGAGACACAACATTTAGTAACTCTTAGTAACAGTTTTTGTTTTTACTATTCTGGTTTTATAACTTGTTATTTTGATCGGTCATTAATTATTTTACCATTTAATCATATCTTTTATTATTTTATCATTAGAAAGTAAAATAAGAAATAACATTATACATATTTGGACGTAGCGTGCGTCAATCAACATAAACTTTGTACTTCAACAAATTATTAAAATAATAATTCACACAGGATTTTTTCAAAGCATTGTTGGCAATAAATTCTTCCATATCCTTTATGATATCCCAACATCCGTTGATGCAAATCTCGCATGAATTATTCCTTTTAACTTCCTTCACAACTTTTATCACATATTTCTTTGCTTCTTTGTCCGTAAACATTTCATTAATATTTATAACAGTTTAGTTTTTCACCAATCAAAAATCGATAGAAAGTGTAGACTGAAACGATCAAAGCAGATTTCAACATTTCTGTAAATTATGATAGCACGTCATCGCATTTCAACCTTCTAACCCTTGAAATACGTCTATCTACTATAATCACGAAATAATAAACGCAATCCTCTCTACAGAATTTTGTAATTACGAAAGAAGTGCAGTTAATAACGCAGAATGTTAGTAGAACAGAAACTGCACACGTTTTTGCTCCTCATTAAGCTTTATTCAAAATACGTGAGGTCGAAGGATTTTGCGGACACGATTTTAATCATCACTTTTAAATTGTGTCGAAAAAATTGCTGTAAAAAGGACTAGTTAATATATACTCGTATTTTATTAATTAAGGAATTGAAAACTTTTTGATTATTTATTCGAGGTTCAAATTGAAAAATTCATGAATATAAATATTTCAGGGTTAAGAGTGCAAATTAAAGTATTAACACAAAGTTTGTTTATTTTACTTATATTCAGTACTTAAATTTAAATAATTTCGCCCAATTAACTATCAGAACAAAGCGACTGCTTTTGTATAAGTTTGCAGGAGCTTTAACACATAAATGTGCACGTAATTACACCACAGTGATCACTTAACTGATAGCGTCGTTACCAACAATTAGCACACCACAACCAACCTCCCAATTTTCATTTATAATTAAATGCATTAAATTGGAGAGATAAATAGTCTGCAATGTGTCAAGTTAAATTGCACACTTTTTTACCGCTTTAATTAAAGTTACTTTTTAATCGATTGAACCACCTGCTGTGACCAAAAATTCATGTTCTCGTTTTCGGTATTTTGATGAGGAAATTCCACATTTTTGTTGAGTAAATTAAATCTTCATATTGTCAGTTTTTGGCGTGGTGAATTTTTCGGATTTGTGGCGAGAGCTTTACTGAAGCAGCATTGGCCAGCAGTTTTTTTAATAAAGATATTTGCTATTCCGACTGCATAGTTGTGAACTTTCAAAGAAAACAAATGGTTTATGTAAATTGGCCGTCATATTTCAGACCTGCGCCGAGGGAAATTTTGTCTTTTTCTGTATTTTTCAGTCATGTATCACAAATAAATGTGGTCATAATTTGTTATTATTAATTTTCGAGTGGATAACTAAGTGTCTTATACGAGACGACAAGCATATTTGAAGTGTGTAGTTGTTGATACAGTTAGGACTTGAAGTTAACTAGTTAACTAAAACTTCTTATTTGAAATAAAATGTTACCTTTGTTTCTTGTTTTTTTTAGGATGTTTTAACAATTTTAAAACATATTTTGCGATTGTTTTAAATTAAGTCGTTTTAGGTTTGGTATTGTTATTAAAAAGCTGTTTTCATTTTCCATCTTTTGTGATGTGTAAAATTGCTTTTTTCTATTTTTAAACAAATATTTACTACTTATATTATTTGTCTCAACGTTGTAATGGGACTTTTTACCCCATTTTCTGTTCCTGATTTTGAAACTGTTGACCCATTTTGAAAATGATAAATAGTCTATTTTTTGGTCCTATTTTTGATGTTCTTACATCACACCTCTAAATAATATGAAAAAATAAATGTTTGTTTGCTCTATAAAATACGTATCATGTTTTTACAACTAATAAATATGATTTCACGCTGTTTACGTTTCAATTATTTTCATTAAACTGTTTGTTGTAGGTCACTTGAAATTTGTGATTTGCATTCGGTACCCAAATAAAAAGGTGTTTTAGTGTCATGCTTTGATTCAATTATTTATAGCCATAACATGGAAACTGATTTGTGTGAATATTTGCGCTTCAATTTTCAACAGTGGTTATTTTATTTTATTTTTTCGCGCTTTGATTAAGAATCTGAGTTGTTTTCCAGTCGATAGTTTAGCACGAGAGAGCCATTAGTCGCTCAAGTTTAAAAATTCTTTTTGTTTCAAAAGAAAGGAAATGTGACTTAAAAAAATAACATCATGAAGGTTGAAACACATTTAGAATAAATAATAGGATTTTAACCGCTAAAACTTTTAACCGGAATTAAACTAAGGGGAAACGTGCTTTTGTTATGGTTTAAAAGTGAAGTCGAAACTCAGACATTCAGTCTTCGAAATAACACCACTATTCTTTTACCTCATTTTTGACTGCAATACCGGTGCCAAATTTGTCTAGAGATATGATTTGAATGCAAATAGAGTCACTTTATTTTAGCGAACGAATTATTTCCACTGCAATATATTCTTGTGGTTTTTGCTGCAAGAACAAGAGGAAATTTATTTATGTGCGGAGAATAGTCAATCGCTTGAATCTGCCAAGTAAAAAGTCGCGGAGTCGGAAGTCTGACAGAAAAACTTTATAAATGAGATTGAATTGTATAAGAAATAACGTGGTGATTTTAAAAGCTGCCGGGAACAAGACTCCAAATTTAGCGCGAATAAATCATGACGGAAGTGGAAATATCAAATGTGACGGTGTCTATACATAGAATTTCATATGCGGCTGAATTAATCTAATGACGTTCCACAAATAAACTTTTGATTTTTTCGCCATCGTGCGATTGAAATTTTTATTATACAGAGTGGTTATAAATGATTTTCATCTAGCCAGCTTTGGAATTTTTTTGCATGTAACTGTGTGCCGCTCTACTTTTTTGAAAGCTCTAGTTCTGTCATTAGTGTCACTTATTAATTAATAATAAATTGTAGTTAATTAAATTTTTATTGTTTCAACTAATTTCCAATAATAATTGATAATAATGTATACTTTGGAAGAAAACAAGTTTATAATTGAAGTCTATTTTCGAAGTGGACGCTTAGTAAATGGCAATTTTTTAATTTTGAGTTACAACAAGTAGGTACCCCTATTTTCGTAAAGCGGCATTTTTTATTTTACATGGAAAATTCACAGCTGGCTAGATGAAAATCATTTATAACCACTCTGTATTTGCCTACTCGCAAAAAATTAAAAAGAAAAAAATCGAATTTTATAAATGATTAGATTTGGAAAATATTTATTATTTTCTAGTGTAATAAAATAATACAAGATCTGTGCCAAATAAAAATTTATTGTCTACAAAAGAATTTGTTTTCTTGTTATTTTTTTTTCTTGAATTATAGTGATCTAACCTGCATTAGGCGAAATCCTATTAAAATTTAAAATTTTCACAGTCGCTTTACCGTTAATATTTTTTGTTTAAAAAATTAGGCCAGTGTTTTGCATTAGGCCACATTAATTTCAAAGGCCTCAATTGTTGCTTGACAAAAATATTTTAGTAAAAAACTAACAAAAAAACTAATATTTATCTTGGCTAGGATGTCCATTACTACTAATTCGTAATCTTGC